CATAGCTAGCTTCCTGTACCTTATCTGATTTAGTTGACTGTTTTATAAACTTTGAAGCCTGGCTGTTTTGATCTGAGGCTAACCTTTTGAAAAAGTCTAGAGGCTTTTCAGACSCAAAACCATGTTTTGTAAGCAGGTGCCTTTTCAGCTTACTTGGTACCATACTTTCATTAAATAATTTTTCACCACACATAAAGCATTGAGGTATAGGTATTTTTCCACCACTCGACATGAAACCAAATGATAAATAGCTTTCKCGATATTGTCAAATAATATTTTTTGATCATACGTTAGCATTTTAATGCGTATAGCCCCTCTGAGTCAAATTCTTGAATTGCTTCTATTTGAATCATTAGGTAATCTCTATTTATCYTTCAGTTAATTTTATCTTAGTTGCCAAACAATTTTTATATTTCTCCTGGTCGTTTAAAGCTGTTCATGGCTTTTACAAACCTAATTACTCTCTTGATTTTATTTGAGGTATTTAAATACAAATCTTTGGTTGATTAAGCTTTTAATCAAGCTGATCACAACATTCTCCTATAAATACTTTATACTTAATATATCTAGTTTATCCAAAACACTTWAACTAACATATGGTATTCTGCAAAGCGATTTATTACACTATTCATTAATGTAATAATGTTATCAAACAATTTTACCAAATTGCAACCTCCTTTCCATAACAGTGGCTCAAAAATGTTCAAATTTTTATTCTACAATTAGAGCTCGGTTGTATTGTAATCAAATTTAATATCGTGCTAAAACATGATCAATTAAATAACGCAGGCGCGGATTCAGAGGNAAAAAAAAAAAATATCCAGTCATATGAAATATATGCTATTTTGATATTTCATTGTTATTTTTAACYTATGATAATCTGACATTTGATAAAATTAAAGTTAAAAAAAAAATTGTTTAACGGGACATTGCATTAAGTCCTTGTCACCAAATTTTACTTGATTCTCGCACAGCCCTTAATATGTTAAGATAGTGTGTATAGTATAACATTGGCATTTAGGCATGGTGTACAAAATAACAATTTGCTATAATAATTTWATTTCTCATAATTTATRACATGAAAATATTATAGTTTTGTAAATATATAAAAAGGAAGCATGTTTAATGAGGTATATGGAAAACACTTAAATTCTGGAAAATAACTGTGGTAGTGTTAGCATAACTTAATGTTGTTAACCCAAACATGTTTTACTTTTTCATCTGCAGGCTTAGTTAATTTGTAGGTTAGCTGGAGTTAAGATGATTCTATACCTGTATGTGTGGTTCCATCTTACAGATATACAACATAGTAAAAACTGTTTTGTGCTGAGTAGAACCACTTAGGCTGTACTCCAAGCTAACCATTCAAATTTAAATACTATAAAGTGGAGAATAGTTACAGCGCAAAATAGTTTTATTTTTTCAATATCACAAAGAAGAAGAAGTTGTTTTAGTTTAAAATCATGATTTTTTTTTGAACAATAAGAAGTTTTTTCGTATTTGTGATATCAAACAAATAAAATGTTGCACGATAAAAGTTCTCTTATAATGTACAAATTTWAATTGGATTACAGCCAAAGTTGTTCTTTATCACGTTAAACAGTTTTTGGTATGTTGAATGTTTGTAAGATGGAGAAAACACATGATTATGGGTGTGGCGTCCTCTTATAGCATACATGTTGCAAAGATGTGGTGGATGGKTGTCAATTATTGKACATATTATGTCAGTAGTAAACTTAATAGTGTTAAGTTTTATTAATTGATAAATATTAAAAAACATTTATAGAAGAATAATTACCTTGATGTTATGGCACATCGATGATGTGTGACCATCCTTAGTCTTTCCGATCAACGAACTCCAGTTATGTATTTTATTCATAGTATGTTTTTTATAGCAAAATAACTTTTATTATCAAATTAAAAGGGTAATATTTTTCATAAACTCACAATACTTTCAATACTCACTTTTTTAAAGTAAAATTTATAATATTCAATAAATAAATTATTAACTGATCGAGTATACAAAATTACAAAATATTAATGCTTATAGTTGCAAATTTAAAGTGTTCATACAATAATTACTTTACTGACTCTTGTGTTATAATATTCACTTTTAATCTTACAAAAAGTTATTTTACTCTTATTTTAACCTAGATCTCACAGTCATAATATTAGAAGTATTTTTTTTAAAATTAAGTGAAGAGTAAATTTCATTCTAGCGTCCACTTTTATTAAATATTAATTATTGACAAAATATTTTTTTCTTATTTTAAGTACTTATATTTTTTTAGAAGGACCCCGGAGAAGGAAGTTCAAAACAGTCTTGTTCAATTTGTGGAGTTATTGTTACAATGCTTCATCCCACCCAAAAAGGATCAATGTGTGGCACATGCCATACACATTTCCGGTATGAATTGAAACATAAAGATTTATAAATTATGATAAATGTAAATAGCATAATAAATAAATTTAATTTGTTTTGCATGATCAGGAGAACCAATGGTGGTATTAGACCAACACTAGGTCCACCACGTCCAAATAATCGCCATTTGAATGTTGCTCGTAATAAGCGTTTACCACCACGAGGCATGTATGTTAATCATGATGATCTTCAATCTATTGCATCTGGATCTAATGGTCAAGGAGAGACTGTTTTATCGGCAATGGACGATGAGGTTGTATCATTAAAATGCAAAGTATGTGTTGCATTTCTTAATTTTTATATATTTTTTTTTTTCGAATTGTGAATTTTAATGACTCAGATACAGTCCAACAAACAAGAAATTGGGCATGTGCATAAGAAGCTTAAACTAGATGTTACTGAATATAGAAATGTTGAACCTACTACAAGTCGTATTATTTCCCGTTGGAGCAATGATGAAGTTATGCTTGCTATTCAAGKTATAAATAAGGAAACTTGACAATTTTACCACTGTATTCTTATCAACGCTTAAAGATAGGTCTTAAATTCTAAATGTTAACTTGATAATAATGTTTCATTTTTAGGTTTATGGGACAAATATTTTTATTTATTATTTACTTAATTTATTTTCTACTCTAGATACTATGTTAGTTATCTCTAGTGTCTATAAGCATGTTTCCCTCCATTTCAAATCTTCTCAATTATTCCTTTATCATAAGAACTATAGGCCAATCTTAGTTCTTAAGAGTTTAGATCTTATTAGATACTAGTAAACAATATTTTCATAGACATAATTTGGATGGGAGACTTGGAGAGGTCTAGCACTTTCCTATTTCTTCTAACCTTCTATTTTAATTGAAGTATTAAATCCTTCTTTAGTTAAGTATCTTATTTACATAATTCACAAAATGTTTGAATTTTATATTTTCCAAAGTTTAAATTACGATTTATTATTTGTGTCTTTTCTATGAATATTGAATCCACCTTCAAAACTTGTGATGTGAGCTTCGTAAAATGTTACCAGTAAGGYGATTTAAAAAAAAAAATAACGACTTACATCTATTTTACTGTTTAAATAGTTGAGTGACCACTCTATTTGTATTATTTTCAAGATCAAGATATTAGGATTATAACACAAATCAGGATTTTTATAAAATTATGATGACCGATATATGTTATGAATTATTGTGATACTTTATTTCGATAACCATTTCGTCACTGCAATTGAAATTATTTTAATTTTATATTTTACCATAATTAATAATAATTTATACTTATTAAAGGGATTAAATCAGTGTTTCCCTACCTTTTTCTGTCACGGCACACTTGTCACTGATTGATATATGTATGTAGAAGTTAATACGGTATTTGTAACTTTTAATGGGCTGCGAGCGATTAACAAACATTAACAAATGTTTTGTATGAATACTACAAATCTTTTATTATATTAAAACAACTTAAATCTACTCTACAGTCAACGCACATCACGGTTCATACATCAGTACATCACACACTAGGACTGACAATAATAATAATAATAATCCCACATGTATACATGTTTTTTTTATACTAGACTTTCATCATATTAATTATTAATACCAAAGTAGTTGTATTTCAGTATAATATTACTAGCAAACAGTTTAAAATGGTAGGATGGAAAAAAAAAATAATATTATAATTATCCTAAATATTTAATTTACTGAAATGTAAAAACAAGATAATCACAATTTTTATAAAAAACCTAATCTTAGTGAGAAATTWGGGACTGTTTTCTCTTTATTATTAGCTTCCTTTGTGGTCGAATGGTTGATGAGTACACCCTCATGTCGTCTTCCAAGTTCTTCAGTTATGATCGATTTTTAGTTTTGATGGTATTCATTGAAGAGAATGCTGCTTCAAAAATATAGGATGTAGAAAAAGGCAGTATCGCATTCATAGCTTTTCTTGAAATCTTGGGATACTTATTTTATAGATTTATCCAAAAAGATGAGACATCTACATTTATTTTGATTTTTTTTAACTTTGACTCTCTGGCAGTATCTTCAACTAATTTAGAGTACTATAACCTAACCACAGTCATTTTTATATCAATCAATTCACTTTCTGCTGGGTGTGCTCATTATCCATATCAGAACACAAATAATTAAATAATCTTGATTTCAAAGGTTTACTTTTAATGAAGTTTACCATTTTGACAACACTTTGCAATACTTCATTGAGCTCGGGCACCAAAGATTTAGCAATGAGAGCTTCTCTGTATATTATGAAGCAGTGAGTGAAAATAGTATCTGGGTTTYCTTTCTTAACTAATGCCAAAAAACCAGTTAAATGACCAATTAATAATCATTGAAGGGCACCCATCTGTACAAACACTAACAAAACTTCCGTGATATATTAGCAGTGGTAAAATAATTGTTAATCAAATTAAAAATGTCTTGTCGCCTTGTAGTTTCAGGAAGGTCTTTACAAAATAAAAATTGTTCTATCAAGTCATTATCGCATATAAATCTTACGAATGTCACRACCTGAGGTTTTCCGGTTACATCTGTAGACTCATCTAATTGAAGGGCAAACAATTCAGCTGCATTAATTTTTTCATTCACATGGAATTCAAAATCTTTAGACATGTCTTCAATACGCCTTTGGACAGTGTTATTAGACAACGGAATTTTT